CAACCCCACTGATGATCGTTAAAACCACCTTGACCATAGTGATAAAATGTGTATGTACCCTGAATTAGTGATTTTTTTCCATTTTTTACTAGAAACATAAAATATATTAACAAATAAACACAATAATAACTATAAAGATGATAGAAAACAATTGAACAATATAAAATGCAATTAAGTACATCTATAAAATCAAAATAAGTTAACAAGATAGTTAGAGTAATTAAAATCATATTTTTTAATAAAAATTAATCATTTGTTGATACTTTTTACTTAAAAAATGATTTTTTTATATTATAAATCTCCCTTAAAACCTCAAACACATGTTTCAATACCTATACTCACATTAACCTCATTTATAGTATATAAAACATCAAAAATATTAAATTAATTTTTTGTTGATTTTTTGTACTGTTATTTCTTCTGTTATTGTTGCTCCAATTTCATATTTGAATTACCTTTGATTTATTTCTATTCATATCCATGTCACATCCCCTCATAAACAAATTATCCATTCTTCTGAGCAGTTCTTGTAACTCTTCCTCTGTTCCCAAGCTCAATGTTATGTTGCTGCCTAAACGTACACAGTTTGCAAGTAATAGATACCTAACGCCTTAAGCCATCTGATAATAATAACACATTTTTTTCTATAACTTACTTCCTGAAGGAGACAGGCCTTCATGTACATTTGTTAAAAGTCCATCATCATTCACAGGTGGCTTAGCATCAAATTCATAAGCATTTGATATACGAAACAATGGTCTATCCATGGACAAACGAAAAGCATTGTGTAATTTTTTTCTTAAATTACCTATGAAAACAAAATTAATTAACTGTAATTAATTTATAAACATAAAATTGGCATTAACATCATATTTTACAAGCTAATTCTTAAATTCATTATTGTTATGTGTTCTTTACAAATCATTTTTTAATAGCTTAAATTTAACATTTAAAAATGATTTTCTGTAAATAAACTTTAAATAAAAAATTATTATTAATTTACATTCTACATACTATATGAATCTATTTGATTGTGTGAACAGACAATTGTTACAAAATGGCACAATGTATCAGGCAAGAAATGATGAACAGCTGGGAGATCCTTGGGATTTGATACCAAAAATGATTGAATTGATTGAACATTCTTGACTAAACTATCATAAATCAGAGTGTATGCCTGTGTATATGTGGTCCTCTTAGGAACCACACACAAAGTGTCTAGCTGACAACAAACAAGTTCTTCATCAAAAGGTTCTAAAAAAAACAACATATTTTCAAGTTTTCCATTAACTTTAAATATGTTTAATCTAAAATGTACCATTCGTTTGATGAATTATAGGGAAATCAGATATATCTGTGTTTTCGGTTGGTGCATTTGATAAATTTTGATACACAGATATATTTAAAACTTCATAATCCAACTTATTTGATTTAACTTTAATTTCACCAATAGTTTTGTTTTCTTCTGATTTTCCCAAATACTGTTTACTTTCTTTAATATAAAAAAGTGGTTTTAAACCAATCTAAAACAAATAAAATATTTTTAATTTGTAATTATTGCATAAATATTCAAATTAGTTTAGTTTAGTAAGAATTGAACTTTAAAGTTTAAATTCAAAATTTATAAAATATTAAAAAAACTCAGGTTGTATCTCACAATATTTTACTATTGTAGTTACTCTTCTAGTTTACGCCTTTATGGTATAAACTATAAATATAATGATTCATTAACTAATTTTATTAGTTTTATTAATTGTGATTGAAAATTGAAATCCCCTTTAAAAGCAAGTTCTATCCCCAGTAATATTCAATGTTACCACTTATCAGAATGACAGGAATTATTAGATGTTGTTATTATTATTTGCAGTGTTAATTTATTATTAAAATAAACTAAAAATCTGATAAACATACCTTTTTTTCTAATAAGCTTGCAGTATATAATGGGTCACAATCATTTATTTTTCTATCAAGTTCCAATTTCATACAAGTTCTGAAATATAGTAAATTCTTGTTTAATTCCTCTTTTATTTGAACTTGAAACTCGAGTTTTTCAGATTGAATGGCATTATCAATTTTTTTTAACTCCCAAAGTTTTACTTGTGAACCAACTGTGTTTAAATAAAGTGAATAATTTTCATTAAATTGGTCCTAAAATTTAATAAAATAATAAAAAATTAATATTTAATAGCCAATAATAACTGGTTGAGTTATGTAGGTATGAATGTACATTATTCAAATACTCCTGGACGTTTTCAATTAGATCCGCATTTCCGGCCAAACCACAGGTGGTCAAATTGTGAGGATAGTTATCGTCTACATTGAAAGACGAATCCACAAAACCAATTATATAGGTTTTGAACACATTGTCTTCATTGACGTTAACCCCTAGCAAAACAAATTCATTGATTTTTGACAAGCCATTTTTCTCCAGCACCTATGTAAAATGTAACACGTTATTGGTTATTAATAAATAATAAATTTTAAATTAGGAAACATTTTTGTATTTTAAAATGTTAATGCAACTTTCCAATCACAGTACAAAAGAAGGTTGACATTACCTGCAACACGTCTTTGCAAATGACTACTTCACGACAGATCGCGTCCATTATGTAAAAGAAAAGACGATCAGAACTACAAAAATCTAACGACTACTTAAAATGAACACTCGCTAAACACGTTACACGTCATCTTGATTATTGGATAAAAAGCCAATAGTGACTGTCTACTAATAAGTCTTATATCTATTGGCGAAATCGAACACCGCAAGAAATGTTATCACACAAAAATGTTATCTCATTTATCCACAAAAAAACCATGGATAATATCACAGAATAAATATCTATGAGAAAATTGGAGGGTCCCACCATAGAACAATTTTATATGTCTATGGAAGGTCCTGAAAAAAGGAAATTAATAAAATAATGAGAATTGAAAATTTATTGTGTTTTCTAAAAATCATATTTTTGATGAACACTAGTCATAGAATATAGATAGAACCTATTGACACTAGTCAATGAGTCACAAGAGTAATATTTTATGGAATTATTTTTTGTAACTATTGAATATTTTCTTATCGTAATTTTTTTCCTGATTTTAAGAGGGCACGGGCTATTAGATTAATTTTTCTCTGAATAAATTGCTTACTGCTTAGGTATCTTTAATTATTAAATTCATAACTCTTAATGCAATATATTCTTATTCGATATACGCACATATCATACGTCTCCATAGTCCATAGTTCATTGTTCACTATTCATACCTAAATGTATATACTCTAACCTAAGACAGACTACAGAGTCACGATTAAAGATATATTTTTTATATGGGGACTAGAGTACTATTATTTTTTAGGACAGAAGCATAGTTTGAATGAATAAGTACTAATCGCAACCATGGTCCTTAGGATAGGACTTAAGATCTAACGTTGCCTAAATTAACAAACTACAATCAAGTAATGGGTGCCAATCTCAATTACAATTGATGTCTAATATGTCCTGTACTATTAAAGTATATCTACAAACTTAAAAAATATAACTCAATCATAATTTAAGCATAGGTCAACCAAGTTTGGTATTTTTGTCATCAGTAAGCAAAGTTTACACCTAACAGTTTATTTCTCTAGTCACAGCAGCTTTGAGCAGAGCATGGAAACAAACTATATAATCTAACAAACTTGATGAGATTTGATTTGTTATTCATTTATTATATACCTAGGTCAAAGGATCGCAATCCACAGTTTTTTATTTTATTGGTCTATTAAGTATTGACTTTATAGCCGTGGATACAAAATAATTCTAATAGAAGGTTCCATAAGAATAATTAGATGTTCTGTATATTTGCAAACAAAACTTAAGTACCTACACTTTATAAATTAATATTACAATATCATGTTTACAAAACAAATTAAAATTGAGTTTGTGTCTATTCAAATATATAACAATAAATAATAATATTTACCAATTATTTTGGATTGCATTTTAATAAGTCTTATGTACCTAATAAATAAAAAAATTAATCACTTAATGTTTTAAAAATCCAATTAGACAAATAATGCAATTTAATGCATTTAACTAACACTGAAATTAAATTTCTTAAATCATAATTATCAAATAATTATAACATAATCATGGTTTCAGTTGCTTCCATAAAAATTAAAAATTATAATACTGTAAAGTATTGCCTTCCATTCATCTATATCATTATTACTATTATATATATATATACATATAGTAGTACTTCATATTTACCATTATTTTAATTCTTGGTAAATTTTGGTTAGTTCAAAATTATGCCTCTATTATGTATTTATCTCTAGTATTTAAACCAAGACGTAGTAAAATAAATATTGATTTTTAAAATTACATTTATCAACAGTATTTAATATGAAAAATAATAACTTATGTATTATGATACATGAATTTAAAAAATACTAAATTCTTTAAAAATTCTTGTTTTAATAAAAATAAACAGTTAAAGGTTAAAATCTTAAACACATGCAAGATTTTTTCATGAAATGTGCAGAATAATTTTAGTAGGGATAACTTTAGACTTTTTTAGTTTAGAGTGTATATCATATAAAAATTAAGATATTTGATATTTTAGATGTATTGATTTCACAATAAAATGTTATTTTATTCTAGACTTTTCCTAGATAAAAAAAATCTCAAAGTATCAACTTTTAGAGAAGTTTCTAGTAGAAAATTGTATGTTCTTTGGTAGGTTAAATATAGAAATTTTAAAACTATCAGTAAAAAAATTTAAAAAACAGTTTTTGCTATTTTATACATTTGTGAGATGGAGATAAGTGATAACATTCGTCAACAGCGTCCTCTTAACATATCCATTACAGACACTGCTCTACTTAGACCTCGTGTACTCCGAGTGCATGACTATGGTTAAAAACTAAATATAGTTTTATAATAACTAATCAATCCAGTTTGACAATATTAAAAAGAATATTTTATGTTCTTTCCACCGAATAAAGTATTAAAAAAAATTCATTTCACTTACATAGTCTTTTTATTTTGGATCTTATTATTATTTTATTTAGGTACTATGTTCACTATATTGTAATGCAAAATACATACAATATATAAACTACAGTGTACTAAAATAGTATTATAATTTTGTCAATTTAATATTAATATTTACATAAAAACCTACAACAGACATTATAAGAGATCAAATAAAAACATTGAATAACAAAAATGTTTTCGCTGTTTAAATATCACAGATAAATTTTAAAAAAAAAATACAACCATCAGACTTATAAATTATTACAGTGAATACTTGCAGTTCAAACACATCACAATGGCTGCAAGTATTTTACTTCATCTCAACTAGTGGTTGAATGAGTTGGATGTTGTTGGTACATTTGAATCTGTGGCGCTGGATATTGAACCAACATTATTTGGGACACTGGTGTAGCCTGAACTTGCTGATTCGCCTGTTGTTGTTGCTGCTGTTGTTGTTGTTGTTGTTGTTGTTGTTGTTGAATGTGCTGTTGTTCGCCTTGTGTATCTGAATCAATCATATCATCACAATCATCATCTGGATGTCCTGCTCCATATTTCACTCTTTTGAAACGTCCGTATAACGAAGAATAAGGTAGATTATAATGTATAGCTGCCTGATTAATACTCATATGACCTAATCGCACGGATTCCAAAGCTTCCATCATAGCTTCCTCAGACCATGGGGTAGGATTGCTGCGGGACAATTCAATTTTCTCGCGCTTACACCGGCCATACAGTGTACCAGAAGGTATACCATAGTCGGCTGCTGCTCGTTGCACAGTTGTTTGACCAGTTCGTATAGCATGCAATGCCTGGTCTAACTGCTCTTGACCCCAAGATGTTGGTGCCGCATTGAATGGAGCCGCTAATCTAATGCCTTCCCGCCGAGCAATCTTGTATAATGTACTACTAGGTATGCCATAAGCTTTACTAGCTTTATTTGCAGAAATAGTTCCAGTGCGGAGAGCATCTAATGCAATGTTTAAAGCTTCATCATTCCAAGATTTAGCTGGTCCGTCTTTTTTAGGAGTATCTATACCAGCTCGATGAGCTCGCTGCCACAATGTTGTAGAAGGAATCCCAAATGTTATGGATGCTTTAGTCAAAGACATATTATGTGAACGTAATGCCTCTAAGGCGTTTTCCATATCATCAGCTGTCCATCCTTTGCCACTATTTGTACCATACGGTTTACTAATATTGTTACTAGAACCATCTTCACTGACATCTGTAATTTAATAATTGTATATAACTATGTAAGTATACAAAGAAATGGAATCACAGTATAAAATATTTTATTTAAAGTACCTCCTGTATTAGAAGAATTCGGTAGTAAGCCCAAAAGTTCAGGTGTTATCATCATTGTATGCATTGAATTGTCTTCATCATTTATATTCTACAAGTATAAATATTGTTAATATCATAAAATAAATAATTGATAAACTATAATATAGCATACAGGATGATTTTTTAAGCGTGCTCACCCTCCATTTTCCATTTAATAGTACATTTATACAAATTCTGATTTTTAGAATTTTTAAGTAGACCTAAAGACTACATTTTCTAATTTCTGATATTTTTGTTCTACTAAAGGAGTACTATTGTGGAAATACAAGCTTCTTTTTTTTTAAATGAGAACCCCTCTTGGGTACTGAAAATTATTTAGAGGATGATTTTTTTGAAAATATTGGTGTATCTAAATCCAAATTCTAATGAGTAATTTCTGAGTTATTAAAATGTTTAAACTGAGGTCTAAGGATCATAATCCTTACAAATGATTTTATAAAAATAAAAAAAATACATGATTGTTAAATGTAATATTTATTATACTTGGATCAATTTCACAAGTTATTTATATTGATGGATCAATAGTATTTGCTAACTTTTTCAAATCGACTAAGCCCCCTTATCTACTTAACCCATTAAATAGACATATTATCATTAAAACACAAAGTTACATTCAAAAACTAGTAGCTTGAATTTTGATTAGGATTTAGGATACATTAAAATTCTCAAAAAAAACATCTATTTAATGATTAAAAATGAATAAGAAAGGTTCCTAATAAAAAACTGAAATTTGTGTTGTCACAGGATCATCCTTAAGGTACAAAAAATATCAATGCTTTGAAAAATGGTTTTCAAATGTATTTAAAAATTTCAAAAATCTTAATTTTAATATATGCATAATTTAAGCATACACATAGGATGAGCATGCTTGAAAAATCATCATGTAAAATGAATTATTATTACACGGTCATTAGAATGTTGTCTCTCTATTCCAATTGCATCTGATGATTGATCAATAGTACGAAGTGTTTCAAATTTAGCACTTTCAAATTTTCCTTCACTTCCATCACTTCTCATCATATCATTTGAACACGATGTACCAACTAAAAATAAAATATAACAAGCATTTTATATATATATTTAGTTATGCATTAAATACCAAATGATAAACAACATTAATTAAGAGTTAAGAATAGAAACTATGGGCAAAATATAATAGTTACTTTATTAATTAAATTTTAAAAATTCAACCTAAGACTAAATTATAAAATATGTTATAGTGGATATATAAGTACTGTATTATAATATAGAATGGACATTCATGGGCTGTTGTCTAGCTTATAGACTCAAATTAAATTGAATTAAACTTGGCTATGTTGTCTCCACTCCCTTGGAGTAATACTTGTAATAAGACAAAAACTTATAAATCTTAATGATAATTATATCAAATAAGCCATTGAAAAGGACAGATATGAAATGTTATCACCACTATTTGGAGCGAAATAAGAGAACAATTTTGAATTAATGGAAAATACTTTAATCGTGAATATAGCGTGAGTGTAAAGGTAGAAAGCGAGAAAATAAGTTTTAAACAAACTCATTTCTGAGTTGACATTTATACCTTAATTCCTTCCTCATTTAAAAATGCTGAGTACAACACTTATGACAGCTCATGCCGTATTAAGTAATATTACTACTAGTCTTATTAGTTATTTTAGTTGCTACTAAACATATTAAAACAGTGGAACTTTTTTCTATAGTTGTATTAATTCAAAAATTCAAAATTATCTCAATCATTTTTTAAACATATTACCAGCCATATCTCTATGTGTAGGAGTTGATGAGGGACTTGTATTATTTTTTACTGGTACAGGTGTTGCCCTTGGACCAACAGGCTGTATATCCGGCGTAATATCAGCTTCATTTACTGTCATAACTGGACCTGTTGTGATAATCATCTGAAAATTTATAAAATTTATAAAATTTATAAAATTAATGATGTATTAATATTTTACTTGTGAATGGGTTTGAACAGCAGCTTGCTGCAACTGTGATTGATTTGTATGTTGTGTTACATGGCTCATTTGCTGTGGTTGCTGTTGTGGTAGAGGTATGTGAACTATCTGGGACTGTTGTTGAGATTGTAAACTTAGTGTAGGATGTGGCTCTAGTATGACCACTGGTAAATCTGTTAGTGTCGACTTCATTTCTTTCTCATCATCTTCAGTTGATGTTGCTACAGTCATGCAATGAATAGTCTAGAAAAAAAAAACGTTAATTAATAAATTATTATTTGTTTCATATTGAATATTTACATTCATAGATTTGTTTTCTTGATCAACACTGATAGGCCCATAACCAGATTGTTCAATTCGATAATAACTCCGATTAAACTGATCCTGCTGAATTTGATTAGGGCTCAATTTTTTTGAATAAGGAGAAGTTCTGCGTTGTAATTTTGTGAACACTCTTCCGCCACTTTTTAATGGTCCTAGAGGAGTTACTTCCGCAACAATAGATGTATCACGTTCATCTTCAGGCACTTCACATAGTCCTTTAATCTTTAACTGGTCAGCTGTCTTGAGAAGAGACTGTAAATATAATTAACTGTATAGTTACATTCTGCTTTTACACAAGCTTTTTTTGACTTACTTGTAATTCAGCTTGAGACACATCAATCTCACCTCTATACACAAACTCTATTATGAACTTAAGATCGTTAAAACAAACATCATAAGGCAGTATAATGGTTGGATGTTTACATGGGTTATCCATCAATAGTTTCTGGAAGTATGACGAACAAGCCGATAAAACAACCTATTACGCAATTGAATGTTTATCAAAAATGCATAAAACAAAGACAAAAAAAAAATCAAATTTTTTGAATCATTTACTTTGTGTGCTTTAAGTGTGCTCTCATTGCAAGCAAGAGTAACGTCAACAAATGATTCATTTCGAAGAAGCTGATGAAACACAGAGGTCATATTTGATTGGTAATTGTTCCATCGCAGACAGTAGTGCTGGCCATTAACTGTCATTGTACTTCTGAAATATTAAAAACTAGATTTTTAAACTGGCAATACATATAGTCTATATTTATTGTATTCACAATAACATTACAGATTTGAATAAAAATTAATATAAAAATAATAACCTATTAACACTTTATATCTGTAGTGTTTAGTAGTTTTGGTTGAGACTAGATATTTTCCAACGCCCATTATAGAATAATTATTAATTTTTTTATTTCGGTTAAAATTCAATCATTTTTCTTAGAACCAAGTAATAACTATAGTTCTAATTTTAACATATTAATGTTCATATTTTGTTCAAAAAAAATCATATTATGTATAATATATTTTTAAAAATGAGAAAAAATTGTTTGGAAAAATAAAATAGTTCTTGGTAAATTTAATTTGATTATAAACATATATACATTTTTTATAGTACTAACAATTCATAATTAGTTGACATCTCAGAAAAGAAAATATGCCATTATTACATTATTTAATTTCTAAACAAACGTTTAAATTCTCAAGATTTTCTTTATTTTTAATCCATATTTTATTGATTTATAAATTATTATCTTTTTTTTATTCGACAGAATTATTTGTATAGTATCATCCGTTGGACAGTTTAATCTCAAATTTCCATAATTCAGAAAAAAATAATTTAAGCGTTCATAAGCTCGTGAACGAAGTCCAGTGGGCATTCCATTAAAAAAAAATCAATAGTCAGTTACCACCCAAAAATTAACTCGAAGGGACCACGCGTTTAACTTTTGTGTGTGGGTGTTCATCGTAGTATCTGAAGTTTATTTTTAAATAATTTTTTTTTTATTAGTACCTACTGAAAATGTAACATAATATCTATTATTATAACAATAAAAATAACCAACAAAAAACCAATAATGCTTTATAATAGGTTTTTTAAAAATGTAATAATAATGAACGGAATTATACTTTAAACATATCATTTTATAATATTAGAGGTACGTTTACCTACTAGTTAAATAAGAATTAATGTAAATTAATAGAAGTTTATAAATTGAATCTGTTTTTGTATAATAAAATTAATTCTAAAAATAGGTTATTGCGTAGGTATGAGAGCATCCGCCCATATAAATAATTAATGCAGTGCCTAAAAATAAATTACACTTTTAGTTTTTTCGCCATGATCTAATATTATACAATATTATGGTAATTAATTATACATCTGTTTAATTCTAATAAAAATCAATAAAGACAAAATAGTATTAACTCCAAACAAGACGCCAAAACAAACAACTTTAACATTCTACAAAGAAATAAAATACCCCGGGCGAGAAATCGGTACAACAGTTGATATAATTAATATTAATATTGTATTACATTGAAACGAATGTTAGCGCAAAACAACAATGTTCTGACATCCATTGAATAACTGAAACAACTAAAGAGTAATGGGACGACGATATTAGAGGAACGAAATTCTGTTAGGACAGCAGTATAATAAAACTACTATAATAGACAATTACAACGAAAGTTCTATCGTTTTTTTTTTTTTTCGTGACGGATGAAAAATGTCTTAAAATTTTTAAACACAATAACAATGTGGGTGGGCCGTGGTTCTGGGATTTACGAGATATTACGTTCGATAATAAACGATGTTCGAGGTGGAATTATAACGAAAACAGAGAAAAGCGACCGTCAAACAATATTGTAGTGCTCAGGCGGAGCACATCGTTATTTATAATGACGTGTGTGTTCCAAAGACACGGCGACGTGGGATGTATTTTTTTTTCGAAACAGTTTCTGGATGGAATCTCTATTGTGTTTCATAGCGGCGTGCTCGGAATGCACAATAATGCTGAGCGAAGAGATACAACAATTATCGTTATCCGGATGCCCACTACCCACCTCGGGGAGAGAAACGAAAAACGAAAATTACCACGAACGGCACGAACACGCCCGGGCCAGAGGAGACGATCGATTTTGCAAGACCCGGCCGGCCGGGCGGGCCGGGCGTGCTGCAGGGAGGGGGGTGGTCGATACCCAAATAACCGTCGACGTCCACACCCAACCTGTACCCGGGGATCGTGGAGAACGGAAAACGACGTGTCGCCGGGTCGTAAAAGACGCAAAATCATCAAAAACTTGTGACGAGTATCAGATAATATTGTCGTTGGGTACCCATCGTTATTGCTGGGAACGGCGCTCGGTGAGAAAAGACGAAATGGGTGAGAAGCGCAAGTGGCAAGAACCAAAGCGGTGGTTAAAACAGTGGAAAACTGGAAAATGGAAAAACGTTTATCGCTCGGTGCTCTCCTAATACATGCCACCCACCCACCAGGTCTTCGAGGTTCTAATGCGGGCGAGAATGACGACAGAGCCTCGCGCGTCGCGTGTAACAAGCCGGACGACGACGGCTTGCCGGCACGCTATCATAACGATATTATGTGGTTCTCCGCGATTCGCGGCGCGGTCCCTTCACGCGTAATATTATTGTATTTGAAAATATTTTATTATTGTTATAAAAACCGCCCTACGGGCCACGACCACACGGTGTGAAATCGCCTCCGCCGAGCGATGCGTGCACACAGCGGGACGGCATGTGGGTGGGTGGGTATTTGCGGGGGAAGAGGGTGCTAGAGGTTGGTGGCAGAGAGGTAACGCGCACACGGACGTGGGAAAAAAATAAAACGAAAAATAAATAGACGGCATTTTTTTTGGGGGGGGGGGGGGGGAGAGAAAAAAAAATAGAAATAAAAATAAAATGGAGAGGAAAGAATGTTTGTACAACGCAAACGCCGGCGACGGCGGCGGACGCGATTTTTACATACTTACACGGAGTTTCCAAACAAGGAGGAACGGACAATTTGAACGGCCGGCACAAAGCGGGAACTGATGATAAGCCTACATTTCGTTGTCGACCTCGTTCGTTCCGTTGTGCGCTCGCGTTCGCGTCGCCGCCGTGGCGTGTACGACGCGCTCGCCGCCGAATATCCCGGTTACCCGCCCGCCATCGTACCGGTTGCCCTGGCAACCCCGAGCGGATCACCATTTCCACCCACCCACCACCACCCACAACACGAGCATGGAACAAGTAACGTGTAACGACCGACCGTCGTGGACGGGTGGACGGACGGCGGCGACCAAGAATGACGGTAGGAAGAGAGAGTTGTTGCCGACGACAGTTGGCCGGCGTGCCGTATTTGGTGTGTGTGTGTGTGTGCGCGCGCGTGTGTGGTGTGTGTGTGTGTGTATGGCGCAGAGAATTCGCTGGAACGACGTCGGTGGCGACGAGTTAGGGGAACTACGGTTTGCGGGCTGACGAACGTTGTTCGGCCGAACCGCCGAAAACGAGTCGATGAGCATTGCTGGGCCTCACACTACTTCTCTCGACTAATTCTCTTGATGTAAATTGTATGTGCCTGCCCGTTCATGACGGTGCGTGCGTGAGCGTTTCGAGGAACGGACGACGATAGCAAGGCGGCGGCGCACCGAAAATCAATGAATAATAATATTATCATCGTCGGGCGACGGTTGACGGGACGGGAGAACAACCACGAAAATTGTTGTTGGGGCGTCAAGGCGGCCGACGCGGAAATATTCATTTTGAGAATAGTTTATAATAATATCTTGAACGACAGTAGTAGTACTGTACTACTGTCCCAGTGCCGCAGTAACGTTAACGGCACCGTACGGTGGGTCGGCCGACACGTACTCGGAATGTACAATTACAATAAATCGTCATAATATAAACCAACGACAACAATAACGATTATTATAAGTATGGGGCGAGATTTGAAAAATGACGAGTGGTGTGATGTGTTTATGGTGCAGTACGAAATCTCCGCGTAGTGCGTGGATTCTATTCTTGCCCATCAAATAATCCCCTCGGGCTGTGTGTTGTGACCTACGTTTTTCCATAATTGCACCGCCGTCGTAGTCCTATTGGCTATCGGTGTTGGCTTTGATAATAATTCGTGTCGTTTGCCGTTAATGCTTTAGCGGAAATTGTAAGGCTTAGCTCCTCAAAAAAATAAGGGAAAATCAATAGTATTCCTTTACATAAAAATACTGTCCAAATCGTTCTTAAAGAAATATTGGTAAATATTTTCAATGAAGTGCTCGGTGAAGGAACGCCCGCCGACCCATTATTACCAAACTAACTTTTAAAAAAACTGGAGAGCTTGGTTTCTGTTGCTCGGTCAGTTTAAATTCAATAAATCACTATATTTGAAGAACATTTAACCCACCTTCCCAATAATAGTATTCAGTTTTCCCCAATACGATTATTTTATAATACGAACAAAAATGTCCGGTGCAGGCAGTTCTATTTTACCGTACACGAGTTACAAGTGTATTGAGAATTCCGGACAAACATTACTCATATTACTATTTATAGACGTGTGCCTGTTAACACTTTAATATCATGTACCTAAAAACACATTTTTCAGAGCAACTGTAACTGTTTATAAAACACAATATTTGTCTTCATATTTGTTGTTGCACACGCGACCTTATTAGTTATTTACACTTATTTCAATTTACGTCGTACGTGTTGATGTCGATTTTGCCGTTTTACCTATAGGTGTTAAATAATTTTATTCGTCTTTACTTCAAGAAGTAAATGGTGTATAATACACCAAAACAGTAATTACGCTGTGGATAATGTTATCGTAATCTAAACCCAAATAGATTTTTTTCATCGATAATTCGATATTGTTTTGAACTAAAGTAAACTCGAAGGCTTTGTATATATACGATATTGCGATAGTGCGATAGTACACTCGATTTATTGCTAAATTAATGTCATCAGTCTTTAGCAAAACTTGTATGACAATAATCATAAAGGTAAACAAAATAATTGCCTGTTGAAGTAGGCACACGATAAAGATAATGACGGAATAACACGACGCATAAAGTGTACATAATAATCTTTAACAATAAAACGACAAGACAAAATGTCTGAAACCTAACGTAAAGTTTTGTAATTTTACTATATTATGACAACGGGCCATAAAAGAACGAACGTAGGTCGCTGCTTCGGAGTGACGCATCATGCGCATACCTCAAATCCATTTTTTTTAATTATTATTTTAGTTTCAACTTACTTTTACTAACGCGTTGTAATCGTTGTATGGTCGTCAAAAACAGACGAAGAGTCGGTTTTAAATATCAAAATACTGTTCGAAGAATTTCGTTACATTCTACACAGCTTTTCGAGTGTACAACTCACAGACGCTAAAGATAAGAGATGAGTACTGTATTACGAGTGCGTCAACAGTAAAACAAACAAAAAATGTGAAAATAATGTATAATTATTAATAATAACACCCGTTCGCCGGCATTAGTCGCGCAATACGTTTTGAAGTAGACAGTACCGCACGGCGAGTAGAAAAATATAGTGCTCCGTTAGTACGCGACTACCGCGTTTTTCACAATAATATTAAGGTCGATTCTGGTTAATACCGCTCGCTAGATACGTTTCACAATGAATAGGCGAAACAAATCGTAGCAATGTGCCTGTTATTTAAATATATTATAGGTATTTATGTACACACCATTTACTATAGCCGTCTGAATTCGTTTAGCCAAAGGGCGATCTGACGATCGTCACAATTCACAAATCTTCGTATTAAGATATAATATGAAAGACATAATATTAATGTCATCGGCGTATAATATTTTAACATAAAAACAGTCAACACCCTATATAGTAACGGTGTGGTGACCGTGCACAGTCGACGAGGATTGGCCTAAAATTTAAATAAATCATTCTGCGTACGTGACGCGTACAACCATATCAGAATGAATAATATAGGTAAAATATTGTAGACCGTGGCGTCCGTCGATCAACGACGGTAAATAATCATTCGATCAAGTCCAACTACGAATAAATTAATATATATCGGTCTCGTACGGGACACTGATTTCGTTGTGATTGATAAGAAAAAAATAACCGATAGGAATGTGTCCGACACGTCGGTGGTTCAATTCACAGAGTAATAATATTCAGTTACACTAAAATACAACGCCGGGAATTGTTTACCGAAACGGTTTTGTGGACGAATAATATTGTAATAATAATAATAATAATAATAATTTAACCGTTGGTAAAGTATTCCAACGTCAAACAACAACAATCTCGCGAAAACACGATACCTAATCAAAATTAGACAACCCATAACTGGAATCTAGACTGCAGATAGTTAATCGTTTCAATAGCAAACATTTTTCTAAACTACTAAATATATAGATTAATTATTTTATTAATATTGAGGTAACGCTTTTTTATAATATAATGAAAATTATGTCTACAAATATTATAAAATTATAATACATATTTGTTTATACATTATAATTAGTACTTTTTACCATAATATTTCTAATGGTTTATTTATGCAATGTTCTACTTTGATTCATTTCCCGATATAAACCATTTTTCAATGAAAAAAAAACTAAAAAATGTTTGGAAAATTCGTAATCACCATTAATCTAAAATGATATTAATATTCCATTTGAATACAATAGTAAATAATTTATAATAGGTATACATCCGCATAACATCATTAATTGTTCGTAGGTAATTAAAATTTAAAATAATAAAAATTCATGAAATGCCAAACATATTAGTATTGGTAATTACAATAATTTATAATACTACGACACATTTAAAATGTACAGCTATTTTTTTTTCGCTTATCCGTATACACTGTACTCTGTAATACTCTACAGTGGACACTAAATAAAATGAACTTCTCTGAAAATATTAATTAATAATTATAAAATACAGAAAACAGATGGAGCCACTTATTCAGAAATTTTAAAAATAAACTGTGAAAACTACGAGTTACGACCGATATAATATGACGATAAAAATAATATGTTCAAGCGTATTTATGTTGAATATATTAAAAAATAATAACCCTGAACTGAATATTTTTAATATAAGAATGGAACAGGATTATACTTCAGTATTTTGTTTTTAATTCAACTTATTTTTGTAAACAAATAAGACCAAGTCATAACTTATAACTTATAAGTCATATTTTAATTTTTAACCTATTTTCAGCTTAGAAGTTTGATTAAACTATGTTAGTAAATAAAATATAAACAAATGATATGAATGATGAGTATTAAACGAAATTAAGAAATACCTAATACTTATTAAGCGTCGGCCTAACTCATGATTTGGCGCCCGGCATAATAATTTGTAATGGACCATTGTAGAAACGAATGCAAAACAGATCATTACCATTTATCATGATATACGTTTTAAAAATTGTTAGATGTTTTAAATATTTTATAACATTTTTAGGTTAAAAATATCATAACTTAAGGTAAAATTGATGACTAAAAACTAGTATGTTTAAATGATTGATAGGAACGGCTAAGTCCTTAGTCCTTGGGGCCACGCTCTTATATTTTAGGAAATAACCCGTATCCAGTAAAATAATATTGGCCATTTCTGCCATAGCCCTTTTACGCCAAAAACGAAAAAGGGGGTTGAAAAAAATTAAAATATTTATAAACTTCATACTATTCACACTGTATTACCTACATTAATTTCAAGGGGGTGTTAAAATCCCCCCTGCGTTCGACACTGGTTCTTACCTATACTTGTATTGTAATTTATATCTTTTGGGACGTTTTTAAATATTTAAATATAAAGGATATGTGATATGCAATTATATATAATGATATTTTCATATGGTACTAATATGTTACATTTATTGTGCATGGTTCCCAAATAATAATAGGCGAAACCGAAATCGTCCCTTTTTGTTTTTGGAGGAAATGGCTATGCCCTTAACCACTTTTTAATGCGTTCCGCGATGGTATCCATACGTAAAGACAAAAACGGAATAAAAACGGAGGGTCTAGTCGGCAAACCACAATCCGGTAAGACGCATCCGTTTCCAAAGCACCGTTACAAACTATAAAAACATACACATTGGAACACATAATGAGGACCGGCTGTAAATTAGTGGTTAACTTATTCGATAACTTATTCGAATATTACTTTAAACAATACAAGCGTGACGCAAAAGAGAAATA